GACAGTGTCTTCCAATGCAGACACTGCAAGGCTCCAGGCGGACATCAACCAAAATCTTTCAGTGGCTGCAAAAACAATATGAAGTTCAACGATGAAAATTTCAATTACTTTACTCAGATATGGTAAACATGAGGAAATATAAATCTTCATCAGAGTACAAAACAAATTCCCTGGCAACAAAATATGAGCGAAAACATACCAACGTCAAAGACCTGGGAGTGATCATGTCGGAGGATCTCACCTTCAAGGACATAACCATTTAACAATCTCATCTGCTAGAAAAATGACAGGATGATAATGAGAACCTTCAAAACTAGGGAGGCCAAGACCATGATGACACTCCATTCAGGTCCACTTGATTTCTATCTAGGCTGTAATATTGCTGCACACTAACACACCTTTCAAGGCAGGTGAAATTTGCCGACCTAGAAAAACTTGTACAGAGAACTTTTCACGGCGCGCATAACGGAGATAAAACACCTCAATTACTGGGAGCGCTTGAGGTTCCTAAACCTGTATTCCCTGGAAACGCAGGAGGAGAGATACGATGATGCTATACACCTGGAAATCCTCGAGGGACAGTAAACCGAAATTGCTCAGGCGTAAAATCACTCACTACGAAAGCAAAAGACTTGGCAGACGATGCACCATCCCCCCAATGAAAACAGGGGTGTCACTAGCACGTTAAGAGACCTGTACAATAAGTGTCAGGGGCCCCGAGACTGTTCAAATGCCTCCCAGCACACATAAGGGGGATTACCACATACCCCTGGCAGTCGTCAAGCTGGCACTGACAACTGGGCACTGATATCAGCCGGGCTGTGGCTCTTAACGTTGGTTTGCGTGCAGCCCAGCAGTACAGCCTGGTTGATCAGGCTCCTGAATCCAACAGAGGCCTGGTCACAGACCGGGCCGCGGGGTGCGTTGACCCCCGGAAACTGGGGGCGCGCTCCAGGTAAACTCCAGGTCCAGGTAAGAAACAGAGCATTTCAGGCAAACTTAAGACTAACCTAAGATTAAAAAGGCAGTGACAAATTGAGAGGGTTTTATCTATCCAATATTGGGTGGTATAAGTATAAATTTAGAAATTACAATGAATACAAGAGAATTGAATATCCTGTTAGTATGTTCTGTATGGCTTCTTATCAAGTTTGTTTGTTTAAAGAATTACAGGTGTGATTATGATTATAGGTAATGACGATTCTTGGATGTTAACATAAAGGAAACACAATCAGTGTCTTAATGATTGAGAGGATTACAGATATTAAGAATAAGATTATATTGTTTTACATATGTTTATAACATTGTTAATATGGATATGTAGTTTTCACATATGACGAAGTACTTTACTAACACATGAAGCATATTAACAAGTGAACATTGTAACTACTCCTGCAACTACATTAGCACACGAGATGTGTTAACCAATGTTTTAAATTCCCCCTTCATGTGTTTGCAATTCCTGAGAACAGTGGGAGAAAGATTCTACTAGAGGTTGAATTTGAATTTAAGGCTGGGGTTTCCCAGAGGACACAAACATCAACTATTTAGATTAGGGTAAACCTCTTGGCCTAGACTGCTATTGAAAATATGTAGGGTCTGTTCTGAAGTCAATAAGTGGGATGCCATTCTCCTTTTTATGGTACTTTTCTTGGGTACTTAAATTACATTATTATTTTCTTTGCTACATGTGTTCAACAGACATTTGATCTTTTTGTTAATAGTGACTTTTATTTTTCCCTTGTGTTGTCTTACTGTGATTTTCATTTCATATTTTGTCAGTTAATGATTTTTTTTTTTTTAACAAGTCAGCCATCTCCCACCAAGGCAGGGTGACCCAAAAAGAAAGAAAATCCCCAAAAAGAAAATACTCTCATCATCATTCAACGCTTTCACCTCACACACATAATCACTGTTTTTGCAGGGGTGACCAGAATACAACAGTTTAGAAGTATATACGTATAAAAATACACAATATATCCCTCCAAACTGCCAATATCCCAAACTCCTCCTTTATAGTGCAGGTATTGTACTTCCCATTTCCAGGACTCAAGTCCGGTTATATAAAATAACCGGTTTTCCCTGAATCCCTTCACAAATATTACCCCTGCCTCACACTCCAAAAAGCTCATCAGTCCCAAATTAACCATTCGTCTCCATTCACTCCTATCTAACATGCTCATCCACGCTTGCTGAAGTCCAAAACCCCTCACCCACAACAAACTCCTTTACCCACTCCCTCCAACCTTTTTGAGAGACCCCTGACCCAGCCTTCCTTCCCCTACAGATTTATACACTCTCCATGTCATTCTAACCATTGATCCATTCTCACTAAAGACCAAAAACCACCTCAGACAAACCCTCTTTCAAGCCTCTGACTAATATTTTTTATAAAATTCCACACCTCTAATTTCACACACTCGAAAATTTTCTTGCATAATAATTAACACCACACATTGCCCTTAGACAGGACATCTCCACTGCCTCCAACTGCCTCTTTGCGTGCAGCATTTACAACCCAACTTCACACCCATTATAAGATGTGTTTGGTGCGAACTATAACTTTCACACATTCCCTTCTTTTCGCACCACTCAGCCTTTTTTCTTCATCATTCTTTTGGATTAACTTCATCCTTTCATAAATCTATCCGCTGACACGTCAACTCCAAATATCTGAAAACATTTATTCTTCCATACTCCTCCGCCCCAATTTGATATCAATTTCTTCTTTATCAAAATAATTTGACTACTCTCAATCACCTTAATGTTTTCTATGTTCACTTTAACTTTCCTACCCTTTATACACACCTCCCAAATTCGGCCACTAACCTTGGCAATTTTTCTTTAGAATCTCCCATAAGAAGCACAGTATCATAAAAAAAAAGTTAACTGTGTCACTTCCCATTTTGTATTTAAATTTCCCATAATTTAATCCTCATCCCACCCTCTTCCCGAACAACCCAAGCATTTACTTCTTTTATACTACCCCATCTATAAATTATTAAACAACCATGGTACATTACACATCCCTGTCTAAGACCACCTTACCAGGAGAAATCTCCCTATCTTATACACAACCCAACCTGAGCCTCACTACCCTTATAAAACTCTTTACAGCATTTAGTAACTTACCACATATTCTCCATTTACAGTGGACCCCCCGCATACCGTAAACGCATTGCATACCTTCAATCCGCATACCCGCTCACTTTTATCGCAAAAAATTTTGCTCGCAACCGCCCAAAAACCCTGCCCGCTCCCCCCCCCCCACCGCTCACAACGCTTTCGTCTGAGACGCGTCAATGTGTGCCCTTAAGGCCAGCCTCACATGTGCCGCCGTTGCATTGTTTACCAGCCAGCCTCCGCGGTAACATCCAAGCATACAATCGGAACATTTTCGTATTATTACAGTGTTTTTGGTGATTTTTATGTGCAAAATAAGTGACCATGGGCCCCAAGAAAGCTTCTAGTTGGCCAACCCTACAGTCAATAAGGTTGAGAATTACTACAGAGATGAAGAAAAAGATCATTGATAAGTATGAAGTGGAGTGCCGTTCTCCGAGCTGGCCAGGTTGTATAATAAACCCCAATCAACCATCGCTACTATTGGTGGTACAGCTTGACTGCTGCACTGTCAGCTGCCCTGCTGCTGCTGTAGCACCGTCCTGCTGCTTGGCTGCTGCATGTACCACCGTCCAGCTGCGGCTGCTGCTGTAGTACCGTTCTGCTGCGCTGTAGTATCCGTCTGCTGCTGCTGTAGCATCGTCTGGCTGCTTGCTGTAGCATCGTCTGCTGCTGCTGTAGCACGTCACTGCCTGCTGCTGGCTGCCTGGCTGCTGTAGCACAGGGCCCGTTGTGGTGTGGCTTATTGAGAATACCAAGAAACAATTAACCCCAGAGGATTTGCCACCCAGGATAACCAAAAAGTCAGTGTCATCGAAGTGACTGTCTGAACTTATTTCCATTGGGGATCCTTAATCTTGCCTCCCAGGATGCAACCCACACCAGTCTACTAACACCCAGTGAAACAGGAAAATGCCTGGAACTAGTGCTCAAATTGGTGAATTTAAAGCCAGCAAAGGTTGGTTTATGAGAGATTTAAAGAATCGTAAGTGGCAACACAGTGGATAAGGCCTGTTCTGGAAGAAAATGCCAAACAGACCTACAGTACTCAGAGAAAAGGCAGTCCCAGGGACACAGTGTCCTCATAGTACATTGCTGCATCTTCTCAATAAAGGTAAGTGTCATTTTATTCTTCATTTAGTAGAGTATGTACATGCACAATATATATTTGCATGTACTACTCTACTGTTTGTGCTGTATCCTTCTCTTTGTGTGTAGGAAAATGTATATTTCATGTGGAAAAATTTTTTTTTCATACTTTTGGGTGTCTGCACGGATTAATTTAATTATCCCTTATTTCTTTATGGGGAAAATTCATTCATTCGCATACCGATCATTTTCGCATAACATGAGCCCTCTTGCACAGATTAAAGTCGCTATGCGGGGGTCCACTGTACTTGCAAAATCTGCCACATTGCTCTCCTATCCACTCTATCATATGCTTTTTCTAAATCCATAAATGCAATAAAAACTTCCCTACCTTTATCAAAATACTGTTCACATATATGCTTCAATGTAAACACTTGATTTACATATCCCCTACCCACTCTAAAACCTCCTTGCTCATCCGCAATTCTACATTCTGTCTTACCTCTAATTCTTTCAATAATAACCCTACCATACACTTTTATCTGTATACTTCAGTAAACTTATCCTCTGTAATTTTTACAGTCTCTTGTCCCCCTTCCCATATATAAAGGGACTATACACGCTCTCCGCCAATTCCTAGGTACCTTCTCCTCTTTCATACATTTATTAAACAAAAATACCAACCATTCCAACACTTTGTCCTCCCCTGCTTTTAACATTTCAGTTAATGATATGATTATTAATTTACAAACTTTAATGACAATTATATTTTTTGCATTATCTTACAGATGAAGCCAGAAACAGAAATATTCTTTTTGGAGCCTGGGGTATTACTCAAAAGACAACACACTCAAATTAACCGTCTGCTAGATTTTCAAAAAGACCATCGTGTTCGATTACTTTCATTCCACAGGAAAGTAGTAAGTTATTTTTCCATGAAATGCAAAGTTATCCATGTGTACATAATGCATCTGGAGTCATCTGAATAAATTTAGTTAATTTGCTCTGATTTCTGTAGACCTCATAAATATTTAAAATTAGTTTACTTGGTGTTGCAGTAACATTTGAAGCAGGATGGTATACATAGGTACTAAATCTCATGAAGATATAAATTTATTTTTAACCCTTTTAGGGTCGGTAGGCCCTCTCCTAAACTTGTTCAGGGTCGGAAATTTTTCGAAGAAAAAAATTATTTTTTCTTATGAAATGATAGAGAATCTTTTCCTGATCATAATGACACCAAAATTATGAAATTTGATGGAAAACTTACGGAATTATGCTCTCACAAAGTTAGTGGTCTCAACGATGTTTACGCATTGGCGATTTTGCCCACTTTGAGCTGTATTTTGAGCCAATTCCAATGTACCAGTCAACAAAAAATCATGACTATTTTGCTATAAACCTCTTCCATTTTTTCTATCAAATGAGTACAAGAAACCACCCATTTACTGATTTCAGCTATCCAATAAAGTGGTCAGGAATTGGCAATTTTGCCAGTTTTGCACAAATTTCAAAAGATGCCACTTTCCAAATAGGGTCCAGAATAAACAAGACAGACATTCCTGGCACTAAAATAACATTTTTTCTGTTCATTAGTCACATCCCCAGGCATCTCTTACATTTCTTTTGCTTTCCACTTTGAATTTTTTATTCTCAAAAAAAAAAAAATAGAAGATTTACTGTTATGCAGACTATTGCATTAGTGTAGAAATGGTATAAATAGTAATCAGCACACTTGTGAAAGAAATATTAGACTTTCCAGTTGATGTGTATTGGACTTTTGGCATGATTTGTTTACTTTTGAACTTTGGCAAAAATCAAACATTTCTGCTAACTTTGAGCCAATTTCAGGTACTTTTTCTTTGTGAAACCAATCAAAATCATCTCAATTTCTGTAATATGTCTTCCATTCTATAAAATGAGATCAGGAAAACTAGAATACAACCATCAATAGCATACGAAAATACACTGCAAAGTCGCTGTTTTAAAGCAAAAACACGGTCGGAGTTTTTTTTTTTTCTCATTATGCACTGTGTGCTGCAGGATTTTTTTATACTGTGCACACTGACCACATAAACCCATTCTTTCATATGTAGGCCTACTAGCTTTCTCTTGCTAGATTTGAAGGAGCTAGAATTTATGCGTACTAGTATGGCACCAACCCTGGCATGTAAGATGTACTAGTACGGCACCAACCTTGAAAGGGTTAATATTCACTTGGATTAGTAATCTACAGTGGACCATCGGTTATTGGCTGTAATCCGTTCCAGAAGGTCGGCCTAAATCCAAAAAAGAAATAATGTAAATACAATTAATCCTTTCCAGATACCCAAAAATATTATCAAAAAATACATTTTTTAACCCCTTCAGGGTCCAAGGCCAAAATCTGAAGTGGTGCTCCAGTGTCCAAGAAATTTTGAAAAAAAAAAAAAAATTATTTTTTTTCTTAGAGAATTAAAGAGTATATTTTTGTGAAGGTAATAAAACAAAAAATTTTTTTCTGATCAGTACTTACCGAGATACAACGGCAGGAAGTTGACCCAAAATGACCGGGTGGCGGCAACATAAGTGACTTCAGCAAAATCCCATTTTTTTTTTTTTTACGTTTTTTATACTTTTTTCTTTTCAAATTTTTTACTTTTTCTAATAACATCTGTGGCCTGTGAGACCAGTAATAATGTATATTGTATAAGTGTACACTCATTGTATTCAACACAATAACTGCACTAATTTGTTTATCATTATATTGCTTACAAAACTTGTTGACAAGTTTATTTGTAAACAAAATGATGAAAAAATCAGTGCAGTTATTGTGTTGAAAAAAAATACAATGGTACCATATAGTACGATAATGTACAATGGTACCATAGGGTTGCAAATTATACCATATGGTAACAATGGCACCATATGTGGTACAATGCACCGATATGATACAATGGTGACATATGGTACAGTGGCACATGATACAAAGTGTTTTATGATACAATGGCCCCATATGGTACAATGGCACTATTTGTACAATGGTACCGTAGGTGCAATGGTACCATAATGGTGTAATGGTACCAATATGATGCAATGGTACCCATATGGTACATTGTACCATACAGTACAATGATACCATATGGTTTCATTGTTGCCATATGGTACTATATGGTACAGTACCTAAAAATGGAGGAAGATAGCAAATAATAATTGTTTGCAGTAATACTCCAAGAGGCAGCTCTGATGAAGACTCAACTCACACTAGCTTTTTTAAAATCTGCACAAAATTCAATTTAAAAAAACCAGCAAATAATAGAGCCTACAACTGGAGAATACACAGAACCTCATCTTCCACTAACAATGATGATCTGATAAGAAATGTCACCATATCAAAAACAGATATACCAAATCACAATCATAATTGAGGTCAAGACATGTTATCGCGGAGCCCCAGACCACATAATGAGATTAGTCCACGAGGGAACATTCCACCAAATTCAACTTCAGTAACAAAACATAAAGTGGGACCAAGTAAACCAAGTCCAAACCGATATAAGCTGGGAAGATATACTAAGCAACACAGACCCCAACTTATGCCTAGAACAGATTAACTTGGTGCACTCGATGTATGCACAAGGCTTATTCCTCTAAGAAAAAGGAGGAGTAGATGTAAAATAGAAAGAGACAGGCTCTCCCTTTACAGGCGACGGAAAAGAAAAACAGAGCGGCTAAAAGAGGTCAATATATCTGAAATGCGTATGGAGACACTGGTCAGAGAAATAGCAAGCATCGAACTTAAGCTAAAGGAATCTTATAGGAGTCAGGAATCGTGGGAAGAACTAAAAGCCATAAATGAAATCGAAAGAAACCCAAAGTATTTCTTCTCCTATGCCAAATCAAAGTCGAGAACAATGTCCAGTATTGGGCCCCTACTTAAACAAGATGGGTCCTACACAGATGACAGCAAGGAAATGAGTGAGCTACTCAAGTCCCAATATGACTCAGTTTTTAGCAAGCCGCTAACCAGACTGAGAGTCGAAGATCAAAATGAATTTTTTATGAGAGAGCCACAGAATTTGGTTAACACAAGCCTATCCTATGTTATCCTAAACGCCAAATGACTTCGAACAGGCGATAAATGACATGCCCATGCACTCTGCCCCAGGGCCAGACTCAGGGAACTCAGTGTTCATCAAGAACTGCAAGAAGCCCCTATCACGAGCCTTTACCATCCTATGGAGAGGGAGCATGGACACGGGGGTCCGCCCCAACAGTTACTAAAAACAACAGACATAGTCCCACTCCACAGAGGGGCAGTAAAGCATCAGCAAAAAACTACAGACCGATAGCACTAACATCCCATATCATAAAAATCTTGAAAGGGTCCTAAAGAAGCAAGATCACCACCCACTAGAAACCCATCAGTTACACAACCCAGGCAACATGGTTTAGAACAGGTTGCTCCTGTCTGTCTCAACTATTGGATCACTAACGAAAAGGGTTTCCTAGATGCACTAGAAGAAAAAAAGAATGCAGATGTAATATATACAGACTTTGCAAAACCCTTTCGACAAGTGTGCCATGGCGTAATAGCGCACAAAATGCATGCAAAAGGAATAACAGGAAAAGTCGGTCGATGGATCTATAATTCCTCACTAACAGAACACAGAGAGTAGTAGTCAACAGAGTAAAGTCTGAGGCAGCTACTGTGAAAACTCTGTTCCACAAGGCACAGTACTCGCTCCCATCTTGTTTCCTCATCCTCATATCTGACATAGACAAGGATGTCAGCCACAGCACTGTGTCTTCCTTTGCAGATGACACCCGAATCTGCATGACAGTGTCTTCCATTGCAGACACTGCAAGGCTCCAGGGGGAAACATCAACCAAATTTTTCAGGGCTGCAGAAAACAATATGAAGTTCAACGATGAGAAATTTCAATTACTCAATATGGTAAACTGAGGAAATTAAATCTTCATCAGAGTACAAAACAAATTCTGGCCACAAAACAGAGCGAAACACCAACTCAAAGACCTGGGAGTGATCATGTCGGAGGATCTCACCTTCAAGGACCATAACATTGTATCAATCTCGTCTGCTAGAAAAATGACAGGATGGATAATGAGAACCTTCAAAACTAGGGAGGCCAAACCCATGATGACACCTTCAGGTCACTTGTTCTATCTAGGCTGGAATTTTGCTGCACACTAACAGCACCTTTAAAGGGCAGGTGAAATTGCTGACCTAGAAAATGTACAGAGAACCTTCACGGCGCGCAAAAACGGAGATAAAACACCTCAATTACTGGGAGCGCTTGAGGTTCCTAAACCTGTATTCCCTGGAATGCAGGCGGAGAGATACATGATTATATACACCTGGAAAATCCTAGAGGGACTAGTACCGAACTTGCACACAAAAATCACTCACTACAAAAGCAAAAGACTTGGCAGACGATGCAACATCCCCCCAATGAAAAGCAGGGGTGTCACTAGCACGTTAAGAGACCATACAATAAGTGTCAGGGGCCCGAGACTGTTCAACTGCCTCCCAGCATACATAAGGGGGATTACCAACAGACCCCTGGCAGTCTTCAAGCTGGCACTGGACAGGCACCTAAAAGTCGGTTCCTGACCAGCCGGGCTGTGACTCGTACGGTGGTTTGCGTGCAGCCAGCAGTAACAGCCTGGTTGATCAGGCTCTGATCCACCAGGAGGCCTGGTCACAGACCGGGCCATGGGGGCGTTGACCCCCAGAACTCTCTCCAGGTAAACTCCAGTTGTTTACAACAAAATATGCAAAAATATTGTACAGTGGAACCTCAAATATCGAACTTTCTTCGGTCCAGAAAGCTGTTCGAGTGCCTTTACCGAATGAATTTATCCCCATCAGGAATATTGTAAATTGGATTAGTCCATTTCAGACCCTCAAAAATACACTTATAAAAGCACTTACATAATTGGTCGTGTTTGGAGCAGTTCGATTTTTGAGGTTCCACTGTATATTAGTAATGCTCTATTAT